TTTTTTCTCTTCCTCGTCTTTCTCCTTCTGCTACTTCTTCTCTTTCTTCTTGCTCTTTCCTCGACTTCGATTCCCTTATTCTCACTCTCTTTTCTCATTCCTCGTTCCTCACTCGTCCTCATCCCTTTCCCCCTAAATTTTTCCCCCCTGATCGTCTTTCTCTTTTACTTCCTACTCACATCATTATCGTTGTCTACCACATCTAATTCATTCATGATTGTCCTTTCACTATTCTCCTCGTCTAGATATTACTCATTATTTCACTTCAACATAGTGCATGTTTTCCTCTTCGGCTTTCTTGTCCTAGTCCTCTTCTTTGTTCTTGCTTACCTGAACACTATCTTCGTTCTCGCCATCCTCGATTTTATTCACCTCAATTTCCCCGTCATCTTCTTTGCTCCATTCCTCGTCTTTCCCATCAACATTCCCGCCCTCATCTCGATTGATTTCCTCACCTTCTTTCTCGTTTCCCTCAATTCTTCTCATCCTCATCCTCCTCGATTATGATGTCCTCATCCACTTCTTAGTTTTCGCTTTCCTCGTCCTTGTCCTTATTTCCCCATTATTACTCCTAATTATTCTCCTCCTCGATTTCCGCATCCTGTTCATCTAATTTTTTTTCGTATTCTTTGTCAACTTTCTCGCCCTAGTTCTTGTTTTCCTCTTCGTCTTTATCGTCCGCGTCCTCCCAAATTAACTCATCCTTGTCCTCAAATTATATTTCTTCGCCCTCTTCTTGGTTCTCGTTTCGCTTACTATCCCTCTACTCTTCATCCTCGTTATCTTCTTCGTCTTCCTACTCATTTTCGTTCTCGTTCTTATTTTTCTTTTAATCTTTCTTGTTATCATTTTCATTTTCACCTTCCTCTTTAGCATCCTCTTACTCGATTTCGTCCTTGATCGAACTTGTTTTATTTTTCATCTTTCTCCTACTCCTTATCTCTTTCGCCCTGATCATCATCCCAGTTTCCACTTTCATCTTTCTCGTCCTCATCCCTTTCGATTTCCTCGTCTTCGTTCCCATTTTCCTCATCATACTCGTCCTACTATTTCTCGAATTCTCTGTCGTCCTCGGCCTCGTTGTCTTCTTCATATAGTTCACCCTCGTCCTCGCCCTCATCGATTTCCTACTCGTCATCTTCCTTGTCCTTGTCCCAGTTTTATTCTTCATCTTTCTCCTCAGTCTATTCTTGCCTATTGCTCATTGCTTCTCTCTCTCTTCATTGTCTGATGTTCAGTCGACGTGGTTTGCAAGCATTGTCCACTTGCCATTTCGCCAAGCACGACTCTTAATTGATAAGGTCTGAACATCTTCAAGAGGTCTCCTTCATGTCCAAGTCACAGGCTGGATGTATGCCCATGTTCATTCAGACTCGAACCTGGCAGCGTATAAGTTCGACACGTCAACTATTACACAACATCACCACATCGCCAAGACTGCACTTTGGTCAGAGGACAGAAGTTAATTTCTTGGAAGGCCAGGCCTTTCCCATGCAATATTTCTGTTGTGGAGGGATCGCCGATGAAGCAAAGTTGTTTTTCGTTTAAAGGCAAATTTGTATTTGCTATTCCGCTCGACTCAAAACCTATTTATAAACGAAAACAATTCAAGGTGTTTTTGTTGTCGGCATTAGGTTTTTGCCTGATCCTTTTTAGTATCTTCACCTTTACATTCGCATCTCATTCCATTCACTTTTTCAAATCAACTTCATGATAAATAAACGTTTTGTTCGCGAATTCTGCCCCACGGTGGCTTTCCCATCGTTGGCGTTCGAGACGAACACCTCCAAAATGCAGGGGACAGTAACGTTTACTTTCTCATTTTAGGCAATAGCCCCATGTCTACCGTTCCGCAATGTGGTTTGTGAAAAGTCCGCCCGCTGGGTAAGCGGTCAGCCAAGTTGCAGAAAAAAATCACACTAAAAATCGGGTGAGAAGGGTTCGAAGGGCTGAGTAGAGCCTTAATATGAACCCGAGTCCCTTCGAGTTGACAAAAGTTATGCAAAGGGTAACAGTCGGATAGCCCTCATTGGAATGAAAATATCACACAATGCCAGTATCATTCAAGTCTAACTGAGCTTTGCCTTGGAAAAGCTTTCCTCAAGAACATGGTAAGGCTCTGATCCCGCTTTGCCTCTAAGACGGCATCTTATGTGTGTGTGTGTGTGTTTGTTTGTGTGTGTGTCAAGCTGCAACGTTACACTGCTCCGGTCAGAGGACAGAAGCTGCGTTTAGGGTAGACCAGACTTTTCCAAATCCAAATAATTATTGGAACATTCAACTACCAGCCCCTCAACACCGAATGCGACCTGTGGTGATTACAGCTCATTCATTTTCATTTTTTGACAGATACGGAAGAGGTAAATCTATATTTCCTAGTCTTGGTTTGACCTTATTTTCGCAACTTGCTCAAAGCGTCAGGGAGTCCTTGAGGAGCGTACCTAGTCCAATGTCCTCTGTCCTAGAGTATTCGTGAATTCCAGCTTTGAGCCATTGACTTGGAACATTCCCAAACGTTTCGCCGGCATCTTCAGTGAGAGGCGCCATCGTAAGCACAGAGTTACCAAGTGACAAGTAAAACCAATCCCCTTGATCAATGGTCGGAAGAGGGAAATCACGAATACTTTGGCAGAGGACACGGGACTAGGTATGTTGCAAAAGGTCTTTCTGACGCTCCGGCCAAGTTGTGAAAACAGGGTCGAGCCGACATTATAAGGGTAACGGAGACTGC